ATGTCTGCATTTGTGATCGAAGAAACGACAAACAACAAGCACTACCGTACACTGCTCAAAACCCACGTTTGAATCATCAGTGCCAAATACTTTTGTGCCACAGATGCATTAGGCTACTGGTTCAGGAAACAGTCCTCATCCATCCTTCATAAAATGCGCAGCACACATCTGAATATTTGGGTTGAACTGCTCTGGAACAGTGTTGTAAATACAACTTAACCACTGATTTCAAGTTGTTTCCTCTTTTGGAAGACCAAAAAAAGAAGTTTCACTTTCACAACGAAACACACAGCGTCTCTACTACATGGCGGCGGCAACAATAATACAGCGAGAATAAAAGTTATGCCTTCTTTCTTTGCATATACATTTGGGCAGTGTTATGCAAATCTTCCCACACAGTGACGTAGACATGTGGGGGCGTGTTTGAATGAGACATTTTAGGAGGGCGTGGACTACTCTTAACTTTTATTAAGAATATCTCTTTGGGTTTGAGACTTTGGTCTTTGCAACTTTAGGGATCTTATCTATTCACGAACAGCTTGCAACATTCCAAAGAGAAAGGAAAACTTGAAATCGCATCATATGACCCCTTTAATTAAAATGCCTAAAGCTAAACTTTCCTTGGAATGACTTGCAATGAGGCATGTTTCTAAACCTGTTGTCCAACAAAAATAACATTATAACATGTTTTTACTTCATAACGTCAGTCAAACGTTTTAAATAACGTCCTTTTCTGCCACACTACCCAGACCCCCCTCCCCCCCAGACCGGAATCGAGGGGGAACAAACCCCCCCACCCCCCCACCCCCCGGAAAGCAGGGGCCTGAGTGAATATGCTGTCCAGGGGGCCCAGAAACCATAGCAGAGCCCCTGTCTATTAGTGAATGAAGACATTCTATCAATGTAAATACATCTAATCGCAAATGTTTATAAAACAACGTTTGAATGGAGTGTGTAGGTTAAGTGGCTTGGGTGTGATGTGAATGTATAGTATTTATGATTACAGTCTCAAAACAAATCAATAGAGTCTTGTAAACACTATGCTGTCATATGCGGTGACTCAGGGCAGCTGAACATACCGGCCTGTGCGGGGGAGCGCTGTGACATCACCAGCATTTCCCCCTCATCGAAACCACCGCTCAGACTCCATCATGCGTCCAGATGAGCTGTAACCCTGGCAACAGAGCGCTTCATTCATGTGACGAGCTGTTGATGCTCTGGAAGAGGCATGAGTCGCATTACACATAATTAGAGCTAACGGAGCGAGCCATTACTCTCACTGCAATTAATGTCATTTGGTGTCACTCAAGAGGATATGTTGAAGGACTTAGCTTGAATTAGCAGTTTCGTTTTAGATGAATGATGCAAATGGAAAATAATTGGGGACTCAGACTGATTGAAGTCTTGTGTGAGAGTGGTGAATAATCTCACAGAAGATCAAACTTTTGATTTGAGAAATAGGCATAAAAATGTTTGGCTTTGCAGGACAAAACTAATGGCGTGCTTGACACAAAATCAGCAACTTAATCACTTAATGCACTTAATCAGCAAAGTTTATCACCCTTGTTTTGGTGCAATAATTGTGTTTTAGGTGAGTAGGCGGTACATCAGAATGCATTAGCAAGATACAAAATAATTTTTTTACCACCATCAAATGTGGTTTGATATTCAGCGCTTAATCACAAAACATTCTGAAGTTTATACCTTTATTTTAGATTTAGATTAGATCACCCAAAACACGTTAAAGGTGACATATCATGAAAATCTGACTTTTTCTGTGTTTAAGTGCCATAATCAGGTTCCCGGTGCATCTACCAACCCAGAAAATGTGAAAAAGGTACACCCAGTAATTTTTTTTGTAAGCCTTTCTCTGCAGGCTTGTGAGAAAATGAGCCACTCAAATTTCGCTCCCCCCCGTGAGGTAGAAAGGTAATCTTATTATAAAATTACTGCCCCTTAATCTGCATGTTTCCACCAACGACGTGTTTTCAAAGCAACAACGGTGTATCAGTTCTAATGCCATGGCGAAAATTCTAACAAAGCATGCTAACGGTTCTGTCTTTGGCTGCACTGAAGAGCACAGAACACTATGTAGGGTCCTAGTCTTAGTGGAGACAGGAGAGTAGTGGATTTATTGATTTATTGTTATTGTTGGATTTATTGTTATACTGTATATAACGCTGTTGCCACACAGATCTAATATAAACATGTGATTTCTGTCCCAGCTGTTTACCTTTACAGACATAACCGTTTTTGTAACTTGTGTGTTTTTAACATAAACTTGTGTGTATTTGACAGTTGAAGTGCAATAAGACATGAAAGTTAGTGAACATAATCGTAGTTTAGTACTCACATGCCGTGTGACAGCCGCTTTCTATGCGTGTGCTTCGGATGAGTACACTCAGAGAACTGTATATCAGAAGTATAAACAATATGTTTTAAAACGCATGATGATTTAAGCGATAGACATGATAATCAAAACCAAACAGATGTTGTTGTTTGATGTCATTTGCCTTTAAAGAGACATGCACGAAAACAGCCTGTTTTCTGCTTCCACTCAAAATAGGCATTTTCAAAATGATATAACAATTCATCTGTGGGGTATTTTGAGCTGAAATGTCACAGACACATTCTGGGAACACCTGAGATATATAGTACATATTGTAAAAAGGGGCATAATAGGTCTCCTTTAAATAAAACACAAGCAAACCGAACACGGGGCCAGCACTTTAAATAGTAGGATGGCAACTATAAACGAGCAGAAGATAGATGGACCAAAATATCTGATGTCCAAAACACTTAGGCCCAATCCCAATTCTACCCCTTAGCCCTTCCCCTCAATTCCCCTCAAGTGTCTCAATTCTCTTTTGGTTGGAGGGGTAGGGGTAGGGGAAGGGCCAGACAGCCCTTCAAATGAAGATTTTTCGGGACCACACTTCAAACGAAGGGGTATGAATTATCTCAGCATAAACCGGCTTCAGCGGCAACATGGCTGCCCGAGCGAAGAAAAAGACACATAAATGTAAGCATTTTTGGTATTAATAAAGATTTTAACAAAAAGTAATCATTTGTTTTATGCTACATTCAATCGTGAGTTCATATTTACGGTCATGTTACTCAAAGAAATGTTTGCAAAAAATCGCTAATATTTGCAAACTAACATCATATCATTATAGACTGCACGATAGTGCCACAACATATTTTCATGTCTGATCAGGGCGATAACCACCGTAGATATTTAGGGGGGCTAGTCCCCCCAATAATTAGAAAT